TTTCTCTTTTTTTTTTCATTATTTGCATTTAAGTGTATGAAAAGTGCGATGCGACACGATGCTGCTGGCTGATAATGCGAATAGAAATATGAATATGAATATTCAATATATAGCGCATTGGCCATGAGCTGAGAGACGCGATGTCAGACGGTGTCAGTTCTACCTAGCTATTTACTTATAGAGGTAGTACAGGTCGCTCTTGGGGTTGTCAGCATCCAATCACGCCGCAAATGCTGTCACAGCTCGAATTGAATCACTTAGGATTAGCACAAATATTTATAATATAGTTGTATATGAAATGATATATATGTGTGTATGTATGTAGATGAATACATGTAATAATGAGAGGATTAGAAGCAAATATGTTACAGTACAGCTTCGAATGGTAGGACATTTAAGTAAATCATTAGGAATTATCGATATTGGTAGGGCAGGATGACAAAGTTGTCAAGACTAAATATTGAAGCAGATATGTATAAATATATAGATCAGGTATATAGCTCAGATCTATAGTTCAGAAATATATATGTAAAATAAATCAGAAGTCAAAACTCTTCAAAATCTTTTTATTGAGCTTATAGCAGCATTGCGTMCTCGCCTATTGACAATGCTCAGTGAATGAATTAAAAGGCCCCCTGCGACAGTATTTATTACATATACTTAATATATTTATAATATATAATTAAATAAAATATGTCATTAATCACAGCAAGCAGAGCAGAGCAGAGCAGAGCAGAAGCAGCATCCGCAGCATGGCACAGGAGACAACGATGGGGGTTAAAGATCAGCATACGCAGCACGATGTGATCGGTGATGATGAAGTCAGCGAACTGCAGCGACCGCCCAGCTTCTATCAGAAGGTGCGTGAGCAGGTGGAACGATTTGCCAGCACTCGACTGGGTCAGTTCGTTATTGAGAGGGCCGATCGTGGCTTGAAGCTGATCGAAGATACAACCAAATGGAGTTTGCCGCAGGGTAAGAATTAGCTAAGCAATTAGTAAAGAGATAAACTAGATTTTAATCTACTCCTCTCACTCTCTCTCTCTCTCTCTCTCTTTCCTCGCCTCTCCCTAGATAAGAACTCGAGCTCCGCTGTGCTGGAACGTCCTTTGCCCTGGGCTCCATTCTTACTGCTGATCATTGTGCTGCGCCTGGTGCGCATCTGGCTGTCAGTTGGTGCCTTGATGATAGGCAATGGACCCGTGACGCCAGCGGATATGATATACTTTATACAAACGCGTCGCCGCAAGCTGCGCGCCATCCGCGTCCATGGCCTGAGGACTATGCGCAATAGGCAGCAGGAGACCTCGAGCAGAACGAGCAGCAACAGCTACGCTGAAAAGCTCAGCCAATGGGTTTCACGTGCCATCTGTCGACCGGGTGTGCAGCGCGCCAATACCGGCAGACTCTTCAATTCACGTGCCATGGCAACGAACACGCAACAGGTGAGAGAGAAAGGGTGCAACTCTCTAAAATGTTGAGTTCATAAACTCTAATTCCATTCAGAGTAACCAGAAGAATGAAAGCGTCGCTAAGCGTCCGCGTGATGACGACTTAAATCCCGATCATAATTTAACTATTGATGAGATGCTCTCTAAATATGCCAATGAGAACTCCGAGGATGATTCGGATTTCGTGCCGAACGCCGAGGATGAGAACACGACCAGCGGCACCAGCAGCGAGAGCGAAAGTGAATCCAACAGCAGCGAGCAGATCAGCAGCACCGAGGAGCAGGAGCAGGCAGATCAGGTAGATCAGATATAAAGAATACTTTGCTAGAGCTATAAGTAACTCCTTCACTTTCTCTCGCTCTAGCACAAGGAGAACATCAAACCCAATAAAAGCACTGCAAATAATGTGCAGAAGCCGAAGGAACCACAGGCCACGCTCAATGGCAATGGCAAAGGCAAAGGCAACGGCAATGGCAATGAAAGGGAACCGATGGAAGTTGGTAATGGATATTGAACTTCCTCTCTAGCTCTCTGTTGTTTAGTACACCCACACACACATACACGCACACCCTCACAACTGCACACACACACACACATATACACACTCACACACACGCAAAGTCAACAGACAGACCCCCTTCAGCATATATAGACACAACTAAGTCTAAGTCCTAGTTTAATAGCAAGTATCGATTAACGATTTAAGTCTAAGAATTTTTTTGAAGTTTTCTTTTTGATAGTTGAAACGATAAACTGAAATACATAATAATAATAATAATTGTGCCCCGAAACAAGCTCTTCATTTGCCTAACCCAGAACCCTGCCCTGACATACCCTATCTTTCTACTCACATTTAGCTGCCCTGAAGGAGGAGCAATGGAAGTCCTCGCCCGGACACTTGAGCGCCGCCTTGCTGAACACGCGACTGTACAATAATACAGCAGCTGCAGGTAATTTCAAGCATCCCCAATCTTGGATTTTGGGTTAACATTTTAAACTTTAGTATTTTGCTTCTGTTTTTGTTATTCTGTGCATGTGTTCAAACACAATAGTCAACACTGAGTCCACGAGCAGCAACAGCTCCCACACTGATACTGAACCCAATGAACCTGATCCTGTGCCTGATTCCATTAACATCAACTCCAGTTCCCACTCCAACTCGAACTCCAATTCCAATTCGAACTCCAACTCCAATTCGAACTCCAACTCCAGCACGAACTCCGATACGGATAGCAGCAGCACAAGTACCGTCTGCCCCCAGCAGCAACAAGACACCGATACCTCCCACTCAGCTGATCCTCATGTGGCTGATCCCTCTGAGATTACAGATCAGCCCACTGTAGAGACTCAAGCCACAAAGATCCCAACGCCTGTCAACCCAGATCCATCCACTGCAGAGATATTAAAACCTGCCAGTCCAGCTCAATCCACTAAGATCCCAACGCTCGTCATGCCAGATTATCCGACCTTGTTGCCCGCCCATCTAGATCAATCCGCTGAGAGTGTAGATCAATCCACCATTGAGACCCTAACGCCTGCCACCTCCTCTGAAGATATTTTCTATAGTCCGATTGGTTCGTTTGCTTAGTCGCTTCCAATTCATAGTGTAATATATATATTCAATATTTCACAGGTTCGCCCGACACCTTCAATTCCGACTTTGTCAGCCAGTCTGTGTTGCGTAATGTCATTATCAATGCGGTGCCCAGTGAGTACTTAGTAATCCCTCCCCACATCAATTTGCTAATCAATTACCCCAATAATTGCCTCCTCTTTCACACACACACACACACACACAGCTCACTCGACGCCCAACTCTGAGCTGGACGAAATACATTCAGCTGGCTCCGATCTGGAGGAGGCAACCAGGCAGTGCATTGCTCTCGCCCATTCCCTCGAGCAACAGGATACGCCGCCCACAGCCAAGCAGCCCCCACTCAAGCAACCACAGCAGCAGCAGCAACAGCAGCAACAGCAACAGCAGCAACGGCACTACAACCATCCTCATCAGCGTTATCGCGGACGCAATCGACGCTAAGCGAATATAGCTCCATATAGCCTAGCCAATATCCTCAATATCCTCTACCCTACATCCTTGTTCTTAAATAGTTTCTTTACTTACTTCCCATATTGTTAGCCTTATACAGAAAGTAAACATCAAGAACTTACCACAGCTTTGTCATCAATTCTTTAATCAGAGTGCGGCTCGAATTTGAACCGTATGTCCCCACGTGGGGAGAGGATAATTGTGCTTTCATACTGCAGCGGCGTCTCTGCCAGCCAGCTGACCTTGTAGCGCCGCAGCAGCCGGGCCAGCAGCGTCTCAATTTCCAGCTCAGCGATGCGTTTGCCTATGCATGTGCGTGGTCCAAAGCCAAAGGGTAAATAAACGAACGGGTTCCGATTACGTGCCTCCGGACACACCTTCGTCTCCACATTTATGTCCGATTTGAGGCAACGCTCGGGCACAAATTGCGCACTGCTCGCAAAGTATTCGTCGCTATTGGAGAGCTCCAGTACGCCCATGAGAATGCCCGTGCCGCGCGGTACACGATAGCCGGATAGCACCAGATCCTTGGTGGTAATGCGAAAGTTGCCCGGCGTTATGGACGTAATCCTCAGACCCTCCTTGATGCAGGCGCGCAGATAGGGCAGGTTTTTGGTATTCTCCAAGGTCAAAGCATCATCGGGGCTGGGCAAAGTCCGTTGCAGCTCGCGATGCAGCTGTGATTGCTTCTCGGGATTACAAGCGAGATGATAGAGAATGGTCACAAAGGCTGAAGATGTCTGCAATTGGAGTTGTATTACAAGGGATATCTAATTAAGATAACAAACTCAATTCGCACCGTATCTATGCCAGCCATTAGCATATCCATGGCCATGACCACAGCCACCTGTTTATTGATAGCCAACAGCTGCTGCAGAACGCATTTATTATCCGGTTGCTCTTCATGCTTAAATCGCTCGATGGCCGCCTCTATATAGTTAGTCGTAATCTCAGTAATATGATCGTAGGTCTTAAGGAATTTTTTAAACTCCGGCGTCTTGTAATACGGCCAAACCGATGGCTGTACATCGTACTTGAAGCTATAGTTGAAGAAGTCCGTCATATGCTCTGCAAAGCGTGCGGCATTCGCATCGGGCTGATCGCTCAGTAAACCCATGCGAGTATTTAGAGCCACAAAACTAATCGCCTCAAAGGCCCAGCTCTTGAGCTGCTCATGAAAGTCAGCGTTCAGGGTGTGAGTTGCTGGATCACGTAAAGTTTCCAATCTAGAAGAGAAATACAAATATTAAATGGAAATCTAGTCTTGAATTGGGTTACCTACTTCTCTATGAATTCCTTGGAAATTTGATCGATTTGCGGCAGATTCTGTCTGACATTTTGCACTTTCATCAACACCGGATTCACCTTATTTCGAAATTCTGCCCAGGATTTGCCTTGTCTATATGCGAAAGGGAAAATATATGAATATCGTATCTATATTTTATATTAAATAATGCTCACTCGGATACTAGTCCGCCAATGCCGCCAAAAACATCTGGGCGAACCACTTTGCGATAGTAGGTAAAGGTCTCTAGACCTATGCGTATAGGCCACAAGCCTTCATTTCTGTAGGTAACCTCAAAGTCTTTGGGGTTGTAAGTGAACACAACGTCAGTTTTTCCCATCAAGCCGGGCAGTCGATATATATCGCCGTACCACTCACGCATGCGACGATTCATTTGTACGAGGTTCGTGTTGTGCAGTTTACCTAAAAAAGGCACATGAAAGTGAAATTTGAAATATTTCATATAAGAACTCTTACCGCCTGGTAGAAAGTAGGATAGTAGACGTAAAGCACCTGGCCCCGGCAGGTCTGAATAGTCTTTCGCATTCGTCCATTCCTCATCGCTGCGTATTGGCGTTGTTTCCAACAGTTCCTCCCAATGGTTCTGTATTGCAGTAAATTTCCAAGAGGGTCTGATTGTTTGTTTTCAAAGCTTACCCAAGCACTCTCTCTCAATCTCACTCTCACTCTCACTCATCCACACATCCACTCACGCGCTCTTTGCGATTCCGACTCTCTTTGGCGCTCAGCTGTTACTCACCTGCTGCTGCGGCTGCGACTGCGGCTGCTGCTGAAGCGCACTGCCCACACTAAAAAGCCGCCCCCTGATCAGCTGGCTCTTATTGCCGAGCTGTTTAATGGTCAGTCTAGACTTCCACATTTTAAATGCACTTTGAAAAGAATTCTAAACAAGCTTAGATTACTATATAGTATTCTAAAACAATTGTTCAATATCCGCAACTTTCGCAAATATCACAAACAAACCGCACACCAGCGCAAGCAAGCTAAAACTGAATATTTCATTCAGCTTTGCGCTTAAATTGCGCATAATTTTTTCTCCCTATGCGGAAGCTCTTCGCAAAAAAAACTTTGGTAATGGTTTGTGTATTGGCTAAAATTCTGTGCAAATATATTAACCCGCTGCCAGGCAACTTGCATTTAGCTATGTATGTAAGCGCCACAAACTGCGGCTTCGAAGCTGTCTTTGTGGTTTGTGTATTGACTAATTCCTTATACACTGGCACCGACTTGTAAGTGGTTTAAATATTAGCTAATGCCTTAACCCCTAGCCTGGTAGCGTGTGCAAAAATGCCCATACACTGTTTAATAATTTGCTTAATACATTTATTCATTGCATGCGTAAAATTTAATTCTTTATTTATTTCTTTTTGTAATTTTAAAATGTTGATTTCTGTTAAGTTGTCACACAAATTGAATAATATCGTTTGTTTATTGAATGATCGTTTGCGGTTTGCTGATATGTTTCGTATCGTAACGTATGTTCTTTATGTCATATACATTGAAAATTTGAATAAGAGTCAAGAGAGTTGAAAGTTTAAGAAATATACATAGTTGTTTTCTTTGCTTTTGTTTTAAGGTACATTATAGATTAGTTTTGTTTTTTTATCTTTTTCTTTTTTCATGTAAATACACATACATATTTAAATTTTTAGGTAGACAATAATACATCAGTATATATATATACATAGATATATATCAATGTCGATTGGAGGATTTAGAGTTGAGTTAAACATTTGATATTTATGTACTATGGTATTTAATTGGCATAGTTCAAAGGATAAAGGTAAACTTCATATACATCAACTATATATGTTGTTTATATATATATACTAAATTCAGCACACAAAAACAAATTTCGGTATTTTACTGGTATTTTGTTTCGGTTTCTGTTTCTTTTGGTTTTGTTGTATAAAAATATAACAAATTATAAACGTTGTTCGTTGTTCGCTGCTACCTATATGTATATATGGTTGATTGGTATTTGTTGTTGGTATTTTTTGTGGTATTATTTGAAACATAAGTAATTGAGAAAACATTCTGCGGAGGACCTTCAGTCTTGTTCTTTTTTGTTATACATATATTTTTTGACTTGATATTGCTTACTTGATTTCATTGGAAATTATTTTTGCTTTTTCATAGAATAGATTTAGTATTATTTAAGGTGTTTTCAACTCCTCTGAATTGTATCTGTGTATGTGTGAGTGTTTGTGTTTGGATTGTTTTCAACAATTCTAGAAGTCTATAGAGTGTGTCTGTGTATGTGTCTGTGTGTGCTTGGCTGCCTTTTCTGTGCTGAAGATCCCTTAAAAACTAGCACTTAAATGTATTGAAACTAACTAAAAATAGAATTAACTTAAACATTAAACCGTTACGTTGGGTCATTATAGTAAATGATTATTATTAGTTATAATACAAATACACCCATAAATGTATATGTTTATATGTATATGTATGGATAGTATTTTCATTAGCTTAATTTAAATTGCTCACATTGAGTTGATATGCATTAAGTATTTTTTCGGTATTTTTTCACAATTAGTTTCGAAAGTACATGAAAATGTATGTATTTATATGATATATATGTAGATATATCTTAAACTGTTTACAGTATGTAATTTTATTTAGTTTTTTTTTTAATATATCTCTTTTTAGTCTAAATAATTACAAATAAACTTTTGCTAAAAAATTTTGCTTTAAAAAATCTTAAAATTTTATTACATTGGTGCATAATATATATACGTATATATATTTTTTCAGGCAGTGCATTTAACTAGTTAAATTTGTCTAAGGACTTGGTATGTTTTTTTTTTTTTTTTTTAATTTTGTTTAGGTATGTTTGTTTAAAGCTAAAAAACTAGTTGACAAATTTGACTCAAATGGAATTTGCTGCTAAATAATATGCATAACAATTAACAAATCGAATACAAACTTAAGCAACTAGTTCATATAATATTCATTAATATACTATATA